AAACATTTCCAACTAAACAATTTTATCAACAATTCATTCCCAAATGGATAAATGGGAATGAATTGTTGAAAGGATTGTTTATTGTACAAAAAAAAAGAAAAGAAATAATCTTAAAAATCTTTTTAACTGACTTAACAATTATGCATTATAAAACGCATAATTCTTCGATGAATTTTAGATTGCATACTTTTTTTATTGAGTTAATCACAATTTATTTTTATTCTAATTTTGTTTCTAATTACACCATAAAATTCGACGACCAATGATTTAAATGTGTCAAACAATTATTTGTATTTTACTACATATTGAATTTCTCATATACAGTACTAGTTGAGGGCAGAATTAAATTAAGCTCGATTGTGATTTATTTAATCATTGACATGAACTTTTACTTAGTGAAAAGTAGAAATATCAAAGATTTAATTTTTCCTCTTTTTAAACCAAATTTCTTTTCAGATTTATGAAGACTGCCTGTCATCAGATGTTTCTAATAGCCTTATTTATGACACAACTTATCATCAGTTATCTCCTCATGCTAATATTCATGACTTATTCGGTTTGGTTTGGTATAGCTGTTGTTTTGGGTGTTACTACTGGATCTTGCGTTTTTGCATAGATTTAATTGACATAAATATTATTAAATTACACTCTACCAATATCATTATCGTTCATTTATTTGTTCTTAGATTAATTTACCATATTATATTTATCATATATCATAATAATTTTATAATATGTCATTGCTCACAATACTTAATTTCCAAATATCAATTTTTTAATGGTATGATAATAATAATAGCAACAACAATGACAGTAAAATAATAATTGGCAACAGCAACAATTAATAATAATAATGATAACAATAGTAACGGATGTTATATAAGATATATTGAAAAATAAAAATCTTTTGAATTTTTACTCGTGTAACATATAAAAAAATAATGTAGAAGATATGTAAAAAGCGTATGCAAGAGAAGATGCAAATTATAGAAAGATTGTTTTAAAATTAACAAAGTCATATCAATTTGAAAGTTATCAAACAAAAAAAAAAGTGCTGCAAAATAAAATTTTCTTTATAATTTCATTCCCATTAAAAAAAAAATCATTCATCAAATAATGACACTTAAAAAAAATATATTTTACTTATAATTCAATTGCATTGCATTTATTTGTGTCGTTTTTTGTCGATATTTTTGTTCTTTTATTGGAATGAATTATTATACTTCTTATTTCTAATTTTCTTTAAAGTTCGATCCTTTTGCTTACTTACTTTCCCCTATTTTGCACTAAGTTTTTAAGTGAAAAGAATTTTTAAACTGTTTGAAAAAATTTTAAACTGACTACTCATAACTGATGGCAACAAGTAGTTAACGTACTAACATCTCTGAGAGGATGAACTTGTCAGCTCAACAGATATGAGGAATAAGAGATAAACTTGCAAGTGATATCAATAAATAATTGAAATTAATAAGGAATAGAAAGATCCGTAAGATAAAATATTGGTTGATGAAAAATTAATTACCTATAGAATGGTGAGCAGTTTTTTCATTATAGGTAAATGTGGGCGACGAAGGGTTAATTCATTAACAATGGAGAAATATTCAAATTTTTTTCAAAGTTTAACAGCAAATAATAACTATTAGGAAAGAAAAATTTCGTAGTGCTTAGAGATGTTTCAAAATGTAAAACAGATAATTTTCGTTAAATTTTATAATTTCAAAATTTGAAAACGCATTTGTATCAAATACTTATTTTCCGAAATAAAAATTTCAATATATTTTCATTTCCATCATTCTCTTTCCTTCTCTCTCTCTTCCTTATGAATCAACTAATCAACCAAGCAAAGTTTGATCGAAAATTTGTTAAATTAAAATTGGACTGGAACTGAATAAACGGTAACAGTGAATCATATTATTTATTCATCTATGATTCATTCACATTTGATAACAAATGTTCCGTTTCAATGCTTAGCCATTTCAATTTTTTGCTCCCCTGGTTTGTCAATTCAAAAAGGAATTGCTTCCATACGTGTTAACGACAGATACGATAGGATTATTACTGCGAAATATACCCATCAAACATCAAAAGCTATATAATAAAAAAGTAAGCAATAATTAATTTTTATAAATTAATATTTGGATCTTTAAAAATTAAAAAAAAATATTAACATCATTTTGAAGATCATTCAATAATTTAATTTTTCATAAATATATTGTCTTTATGTATATGAGTAATGTAATTAATTAGTATCTGTTTATTTTAATTAACAATTTTTCTTTTCCTCATAACATTCAGAAATCTGATAAAGGTTTCAGCCAATTGGCTCATTGAATTACATTCGTTTTTCTTCAACCAACAATTAATTATCATCTGTGTAAGAAGTTAATAGTGATAATTCATTGAATTATGCAATAATTACAATTTCTGACTACTTCAAAAGTTATACGATTAAGCAATAAGGTAAGTACTGCTCAAATCTAGCCAATTGATCATGGAATTTGCTAAATAATTAATCAAACAGATAAATATTCAAGCAAATACCGAAACTCTACACTGTACTCATGGAAACAAAAAAAATTCCTTCTAATCTGAAAAACAAACTTTAAAAAAAATAACATAATACAGAGAGTGATATAGATTGATGAAACTGAAGAGAATAAAATGCAGTGATTGAGAAACTCAAAATATCATTGATATCATGAGATCGACAAAGATTGATAAAACTCTACGAGACACACACGGAATAGCAGCACATATAGGCCTGCAGAGGCTTATCATTTAGGCAATATTGAACAAAAAAGAAAGCATATTACTAACAGGTATGGAAACTCTTCGCTACACGGTTAATAGCTATCTCGCGATCTGTGATCTTTTCTGGCATTAGTTTCATCAAAATTCCGGATCACACACTGCTTCTCTATTACTCTGACTCTCTGCCTCCTTCATTTATTTTGTATTTTCGTTTTTTCTCTCAATCTATGCCAATAATTTTGCAGTTCTTGGTATGTATGAATGTTTTCTGATGCATTCTCTATATTTGTTACACATTGTAATGTTTTTTTTTTTTTTACATATAAAAAATTGCAAATGATATTTGAATTTTGATATCAGAGTCATTTTTTTTTAAAATGAAACAGTAAGATTCTTTAATAAAAGCTTCCAGTGGTTTAGACTGTCTTAAAATGCAAAGCCATCTTTCTTAGTTTGATCATCTTTATGGAAGAAGGAATAGTTGAATTTTGAAATTTTCGGACTAAGTTCGCCGAAGTTACACAAAAACAATCTTGAAGATAATTTGTACAGAAATTTATGTTAGTTTTCTTTTTTTTTTAGAGGAGGGAGAAAAGAAGATCAAATATACTCATTTGTCTGGCTTATTGATTTCAAACAAATAATTGTAAATGTGGATGAAGTCTATGAGCATGCATAAACAGCTATCGAAATGAGTTATAATAATCAACCATAAATCATACCTGCTAGATTTTTGATAATCAAAATTGCTTTGAAAAAATTAAAAAGATTTAAATTAACTATGTTTTTGTTTTATATTAAACAGCTATTCTGATATTGCTTAAATTTAAATAGTTCGGTTTTTTTTTTGTAATTATTTTAATTTCAGTTTGTTACTTGAAGTAAGCCGGCAACAATACTGGTAGCATTTGCCGAGCTACTGGGTAATTGTTGGGTATGACAAGTGAATTCGTGGTTTGGAACTGGAAAAAAGTTGGTATTAGTTGTTCACAGGTAAATGAATTCAATTCTCGAAGCAAATAATTGTTTTCTCAAATGAACGACGATTTAATTCCACAGAAAAAAATTTAATTTTTTGAATAAGCTCTAAGCAAGTATTCGATTTTTCAAGTAATCCAAATATTCAAGTAAGTACGATAACTTGTATATGATTTATGAGGTTTTATAGTATATACAGGATATAAAATTCGTTGGAATATATCATCTTGCGCAAAACAAAAATTTAGTAACTTAAATATTTCCATTTTAGGTATTCCTATCATTCCTGTGCTTTCGCTTCTCACAATTTATTGTTCGATGGTACTTATTTGGAACATGTACTTTCAAAACATTCTCATATTTTGGATGGCGTAAAAGTAGCGATCACTCAAATACCTTTGTGGATATCCATAGCAGTCAACCATTGTTGGTATGTTCAAGTAATTTTAGTTATTTCATAAAGCTTCACGTGAAATATCGTTCTATATTGCATGAGTCAAACATCATGTTATGAAATACAGGTACTTTACAGCGTGTACTTTCATCATCAGTACAAAATTTGATTATTTCAAAGATAGGTGGGAAATTCTGCAATTTAATAACTGAATTCCAAGTGTGGTTACAGATTACACCTCCAAATAGGCGTTGGAGGATCAGTAATGAAGCTGTTTCATTAGGACATTCAGTAATATCCGGTTTTTGGGCACTTTATGCAATTATTGTTTATCCAAAGTTAATGGAAGATATGGTAAATTATACAAATACCATGGCTTATTATTTGGTGAGTTTTTTCATTTATTTCCTTGAAAATTAATGACGAGAGCATGTTCCGTTTTTTGATTCTTATATTTTATTGGATCGTGTCTGTGTAATAACTTAGAATAACAAAAAAAAAAAATTAAATTAAAACTGTGATCAATTAAGGAATCAAACTGAATTTAGTATTTCTTTTTCTTCATAATGAGTTTGAAATGCGACAAAATTAATTCAGTTTGTTTATAGATTGCAAAGTATAGATATCTTATATAGTTATGCAACCACTGAAGACATTAATAGAAACAAAGTTCAAGAAGAATATTGCGATTTTTCTTTGATAGAAGTAAAACCTGTGGTAGATGTAGTGGTAATGATTGTGATATTTTTGATGATTTATTTATTACAGTTGATAGTTTCAACGGGCTATTTGATACATGATCTTGCTGATTTGCTTATCAACGAACAGTCATTACGGATCATTGAACTGCTCTTTCATCATATCATCGTTCTCATAGCATTTGGTACCAACTATGCAACGAATAAGTTTTTAGGTTTTTCTTCCATTTTTATTTTGAAAATTTTAGTCATTTTTAAGATGTTTTTTTTTTTATCCTAATAATCTAATTTTCGATATGCATTATAAATTATATGTATATTTTTGGATTTTGGTGATTATGATTTTTGTACCTTCATTTTATTGAGAATGATTTTTTATCTTGTAAACAAAAAGTAAGTCAGTAAAAAGAGATAGACGAACATATCATTTGATTAATAGTTGGTATTTACTTGCCAAATTTTAGGAGTGGTTGTCTGTGGACTTCTAATGGAACTTAATAGCATTTTCCTTCATTCACGTTCCATGTTGAATCTTTATCGAGTTAAAAAATCATCAACACCATTTCGTATTATTGCGCTGTTGAATATTGTTACATTTATTGTATTTCGAATTGCTGTTAGCACTTATTTGCTGTATTGGCAAATTACTACGGCCTGGAAAATGGTATGGTATCTCACACTGATTACATTTGTCGTCATCGTTTCACTCGCTGCCACCAATGTCGTCCTCCTGTATAGGTAAGTATAAATGAAATGATCTTAAAAGGTACGAAAAACAGCTAAATATGAATATTGCATACTGTCTTATGGCATTAAAATGTGCTCCTTAAAACGTTTTAAAATGTTAAATTTTCAACATAAATTTATTCTATTAACCTCTCCAATTTTCGATTGGAACCTTTATCACGTGAATATCATTTTTTTCGAGTAATTTTTAGGGACTTTTGAGTATTGATCGGTGATGTGAAATCTTATCAAATGAAATTATACTGTGCAAAAGATTTTCGAGAAATTTTTTGTTTAATTTTTCAAGATTTTTAAAAAGGGAGAATTTTCAGGGTTCTAGCTGCTGATGGGCTGTTAGGTAAGAAGCGACAGCGCGGTGCACCAGCAAATGCTACACAAGTTGTAGCACAAGCTGCAGAAACAAGTAACGATCGACTTCGTGATGAGGATGAGATTGAAGTTATTGCTTAGGAAAAAATAAGGAACTCTATTGGGTATTGTTTCACATTTTGTGTTTAGTTACTTTTTCTATTTTTAAATAATGATTTACTCATGTATTACCAGCATTTAACTTCGGCAATGATTTTTAGGTGCAAAAGGATCCAGTGCAATTTTTATGATATCCTTCATTGTGTGTATTTATCACTTTTCAGCCTATGAAGCTTGAGCAATGTATGAGTTCTTAATATTACATTTTTTTCTGACTTCCAAGAATTTTGGACTTAGAATAAATTATTTCCTTTAAGATATAATCAGATGCAAGTTAAAGTGAAATATAGCTTTCCAAAAAATTGTTGAACTTCTAGGCTCATTCCTTAACTTTAAAGGCATGGATCTATAGTTTATAATGATATGGGATTCAAAAAGTGAGATCGATTTTTAAAATAATTTGGAACTCAAACTTCCACATAAAAGTTTTCGCACATCATAGTAAATTTACATTTTTATGTACAATTTAGTGAGGAATGCTGGGGAAAAAATATAGAGTGACCAAAATGAAAAGAATATTTGTCGAGAAATAAATAATGGGAAAAACTTTCGTATTTAGTTTCAATTTTTTGGCTTACGAGAGATGAAGTTAGGAATTGGCTGGTTTTGAGAAAGCTAAACGGCCTTATCCAGTTAAATTCAAACTTAGCTAAGGAGAAGATAAGTATTGATTTATTGAGGATGACATGTTTCTTATAATGTTTGATTATCTATTATTAGTTAAAAAATATTAACAAGAATTATAAGCACATACATACAACATAGCATAAAAAAGAATAGACTTTTGAACAACTGAATTATTCGCTGATAATTTTGATAAATTTGATCTTCCAGTATTCTCTTCCAGCATATTTTCTCCCAATTTTTTAAAGCAATATTTTAACTTATTTTTCTTGGGAGAGTGTTTACCTTTTAAAAAGTATTAATTGTTGGATTTAAAATATCGAAGAGATGAAATGGTCATCGTAATAACTAAGGTATGTTACTTTCACGTTCTTGCACATTCGTACTTGTTTGCGCAAAAATTGTTGAACAATATTTATTATGATCATTTGTTTATAAAGCTAATACACTTGATCTCGTTGCTTTGTCGTTTTGCTATTTATTCCCTGCATATTTCTTTATTCCATTGTTGTATTTTTGTTTTTAGCTTTTTGTTGTCTTTATTGGCCTTTAGGAAACTGAAATTATTTGGTTAAATTGGTTAATAATCCGATATGTTTCGGGGATTTTGAACACTTCTATTCTAACATAATTCAGTGGTTTTGCTCATTTACGCAGCCTTCGAATTAGGTTATATTTTCTTTTCTAGTAGCAGTGTCGCGATGATGAAATTGCTGTCCTTTTTTAGCCGCTGATTTTATTCCTACTGAAAACTTTCATCTTTTTTTTTTGGCTTTACAACCTAGCTCTATGGTGAATTTGCCTTGTTGTCGTTTTCGTTACTCGTTTCAAAATTTGTTACACTTTCTACAGTTATTATCTCGTAAATTTCCATATTACATCGCGATCAATGAGTTTGAAGAAGGATGAGATAAAAATGGTTCGAATATATTGTTTGTACTTTTCATTTGAGTATTAATGAGAGTATTAGTGAAACAGATATAATTTTAAAAACAGAGTAGAATGAGATAAAATGATATGAATATTTAAAGTTTTCGAAATTTGACGAAAACTTTGTATTAAAAATAATATGAATTTTTTTACATGAAGTACAAGGAAATTGCTGAAATTTTGGTAATTCTAAACAATTATTATTTCTTCAGAATAAATATTAACATGAATTATAATCACATACACAATATAGCGCAAAAAAATGATGGATTTTTGGACAGCGGAATTATTCACTAATTTCGGTAAATTTCATCTTTCAGTATTTCTTTCATGCTTTTTTCTACTTCTTCAAGCAATATTTTAACCTATTTTCCCAGGAGAGAAATCGGTAATTAGCTTATATATCGAGCAATAATTAACGTTGAACATTTGTTTGCTTGTGTTATCATCAAGAATTTCAACCCAAAAATAGTATGCTTGACCACAGGTACTGTTTTAATGCTTTTTTTCTGTGAAAACAGTTCTGGAGAAACTGTTATCAGTCTTCATTCCCAAAATCCGATACTGTTCAAGACATTGTGGTGATTATGTTTTCCTGAATTCATATGTCTTTCTTCCCGAGCGGTATATTTTAAGATTTTCCTTTCGTGTTGGATTTGGTTTCTCCTTTCTTTGCCAAAATAGACTAAATATTTATTACTCTGAACATCGTTCATTACAACTATATAGTATTCAATGCAGTTTCTTAAAAGAAACTTATGACACTAATATATAACCGTGGCTGGTGCTGTTTGAATCATTAGTCAGATATTTTCATGAATTGGACACAAAACATATTCAAGTTCATTATTCAAGTAAAAGTTACAATCGAATAAAATCTAGATTCATATTTCAATCTTTCTACAAGTATTAAAGATGGATTTTACTTATCCTTACTCTGAAACATCATAGCAAATGCTGAAAACCTAAATCAAGAAAGTGGTACCGATTTCTTGAGGTTCGCGGACCAACTGCATCTGACAAAAGAAACAGCAAAAAATAATTATTTCTGGAATTGAAAGAACATATATAGCCTAAATCTCGTATTAAGATGAATAATTCTTCCAAAATTAAATAAAATATAATGAGTTCAGACATGATCCGCGCCTTCCTGATCAATAAGCTTAAACCAGTGGCCACAACGGCAACGCTGCGGTTCACCTTCATGTAAAACAAAGAGCACTGGAAAAGTTGTGTCTGGCTCACCTGCAACAAATTGCTACTTATATTCACACCACACCAATAAGTAGTCTTTTTAATAAAAGTTTATCATTTCCAAATATAGCATCGTTTGTAATGCAGATCTTCGAGAAAGAAATTTATTTCCAAAGTACATGTTTATTCGTTTATGTGAAAAACTGTTAACTACAATGAATTCATAAAGCAAATTGTTCCATTAATTAATATTTAGATGCCAAATCGATTTTAACTTTAAATTGAAATATAAACTAACAAAAACAAGCTAGAAGTCGATAATCGTAATCCGAAGGGACGAGATTCGGATTTTCACGCGATGAATTTTCCAATTTATAATAAACTTTTGTCTCGTAACGCTAAAAATAGTAGTCTGCTACAATGAAAAGTAAATCAATAAAATCTCAGGTAGAAAAAAAGTAGCAAATAAAAGGTAATCTCTGCTACATAACCTTTAATCCTATCCATTTTTCCGAAAAGCTAAGAAATGAATTATACGACAGTAATATGATCCTAATTTACAATTTACAGCTGCAACTTACATCATCACCAGCAAGTGTTGCGACAAGTTGTCTTCTTTTCATTGACTCTTCGTGTGCTTCCAACGGATCCGTGTCTACAAACAGTTCAAATTAAGCCAAGCCTACCGGTATGTCTTTGAGCAAAAATGACTGAATTCTACCAATAACATTTGTGAGATTCTTTTCTTAAAATCTTACAAAATGTTGTTGGTAAAACTCAGTCTTTTTACTCCGGTAAAAGAAAATCCTACTAATATGTCAATATCATATGACTAATTCCTAACTTCAACAAGTGGATCATTCAGCATTACACAGCACTATTCATATCAATTTTGTTTCACTTCAGCAATTGAAATATACATTCTTAGCACGCTATACTAGACATAAACTTAAATATTTTATATTTCATCCTTTCAAACATTTCTCCAAAGGGAATAAATCAAAAGATTCAGTTAAATAAATTATCCAACTTAAAATAAACAAATAAATACAATTAAATTCTCTACGGAAAGTTGAACGATTTTAGAATAGAAACTTACAATGGCCATAATCTTCTGGTGAAGCAACTTTTGCATAGGGCCGCTGCAGATACAACGTTACAGAACGTAATGCTGTTGCATTACGCATCAAACCGGTAAAAAATTTGTGTGCATAAAGTTGAACCATTTTCCTAAAAAAAAAAAATAAAATTAATAAACAGCTCTAAGTAATGCAAATTGTAAACAACCAATTTAAACAGCAAAAAATCCACTGCAGCATGATATGATAAAGACTTCGATAAAATCAAAACCAAATTTTGACGGAAAATTTCATCCAAAAATATTCGCCCCACATATTATTAACTGCTATTGCTCCCATGTTTATAGTTGCTTATAAGGAATAATTTGATAAAAGTATGCGTAGTAATTTCAAAATGTACTATTTCAAATAACATCAAAAACTTCCAAAACATTTAATGAAATATAATCAATAAACAAGTAGTATGACAAAACAGCATATAGTAAACTATAGTAAGCTTAAAACACAATAATCTACCGGTAAAATATGATAACTTTGTGCAATATATACAATTACATATAAGCATATACAAATTTAATATATAAGCAATATATAAGCAATTTAATATATAAGCAATTTAATATATAAGCAATTTAATATATAAGCAATTTAATATA